CTTGCCTATGCAGTTATTATTACATGGTGACAACGTATGCACACACACACACACACACACACACACACACACACACACCACACACACCACACACACACACACACACACACACACACACACACACACACACACACACACACACACACACACACACACATATTGTTATAGTGAGTTATTCTTTGTACTGACTTATTGGTTACAATGACGTACTTACTATACTGACTTATTTGATACACTAAATTGTTTGTTGCACTGACTTGCTTGTCACACTGACTTATTTACAGCATTGTCTTATTTGGTGACAGAATCTCACCGAAACTGTTCTCAGCTTGCCTTGAAGAAAAATCCAAGAAACTAGAATGAAACGGAAAGGATATCTAAATTAGGGACAAACACCTATACAATCTAAGATTTGCAAACGAAATTAGCTTAGCGTCAGCAAATCGTCAGCAACAACCGAAAATGACCTGTATAAAGAAAGTCTAAAAGTTGGACTCAAAGCAGTTCGAATAGATACATCTACAAAGTGCTGGAGGCTGTGGATGAATATATTAATCTAGGGCAACATACAGAAAAACACATCCAGTGAAGAGGATATATATATTGTGTGTATATATATATATATATATATATATATATATATATATATATATATATATATATATATGTGTGTGTGTGTGTGTGTGTGTGTGTGTGTGTGTGTGTGTGTGTGTGTTGTGTGTGTGTGTGTGTATACATAACGAACCCTGGCGCGCACACACATATATATATGTATAATGCTTACGCACACAATCATATATATACATTTATGCATACATATTATATAATATAAATATATATATATATATATATATATATATATATATATATATATATATATATATATACACGCACACACACATATATACATATATACATGTATATTGACACATACACACACACACACATATATAGTTATTCGCTCCACACTCTTTTTATGGATTCCTCATTTGCATACATGTTATATTAGGGATTTCAGCTTTCGTTGCGGTTTTCCAACACGTGCTGGGTGATGCTATTTTTTTTCGGTAATTTAATTTCCGTATAAAGGACCGTCATGGCCATTTAAACTGTTTAATCTTCTATTAATCGCCTTTTCACTTTTCGATTTCACTCTTAGAATTAGGTGAGAAAAGGTTTAATTTTGACATTAACTAAAAGAAGTCCAGTAATGATGTCCATGGCTGTGTATACGATTCTCTAGGTGACCGTTTCCTCATCAAAGTATTAGGCGCCTTTGATAGGTGCACACACACACACACATACACACAAACACACACAAGTGCGCATATATAATAAATTGTATATTATGTGTGTTTTATTTTCTCCCTTGTTTGTCAGTCAGTGATAACGATTGCAAGACCTCACGGGGCTTAGGTTGCAGCTGACATTTCCCGGCTTCTGGTCTATAAAAGTGGTTCCGACCGCATTTTTCTTAACAGTGTTAGGAAGCATGTAAGTGAGGTGCCCGGTAAGGAGGAGGAAGGGGGGAGGGAGGAGGAGGACGAGGAAGAGGAGGAGGAGGAGGTGGAGGTGGAGTAGAAGGAGGAGGGGGAGGAGTATTCGATTATCTATTTCCATATCAGTTGAAAATAACATCCGGCTCGCCTCTGTTGTCCGTGAACTCGTTATCAGTATTCCGATGAGTGAATAGATTCATAGGGGAATGTTTGTGGGAACTCTCTCTCTCGCTCTCTTTCATTCTTACATTTCTCATTTTCCATCTTTTCTTGTTAAGTAATTTATTCAATAATATTTACTTGCAGACGAAACAACGACCATGAGCTTCAAGGGCCCCTGCCCGGCCGTGGCTCCCGCTCTGCTGGCGCTGCTGTGGCTGTTGGCGGTGCCTGCTTCTGCTTCTGCCGCCGCTGATTCTGCTCCCAGCATCGTCTTCATTCTGGCAAATGATCTCGGTGAGGTTTGTGGAGGTTCAGGGATTTTAGGATAAAGTGAAGAACTATCCTGGGTGAGTTTTTTCTTGGGTTAACCGAAAAGTTCCAGCAAGGCTTCGCCGTGATGAAATGTGAACAGACCCTGAGAGGATCGCGTTTCCGAAGGCTGTTCAAAGATTCAGGTGGAAGTGGTGAAGGAAAGGAAAATTAAAAATCGAGTGTTTTTCCATGTTGTTTCTCTCCAGAACGAAAAGATATTTCAGAATCTAAAATGTCGAGAGACTAAACTCTATTCCTTTACCTCCACCTTCTTTCTTTCTTTTCCTCTCGCTCTGTCTGTCTGTCCCTCCGACGAGGAGGAGGCCGCCGCCTTGACCTCCGACGAGGAGGAGGCCGGCCCTCCGACGAGGAGGAGGCCGCCCGCCATGACCTCCGACGAGGAGGCCGCCGCGCCATGACCTCCGACAGCCGCCATGACCTCCGACGAGGAGGAGGCCGCCGCCGCCATGACCTCCGACGAGGAGGAGGCCGCCGCCGCCATGACCTCCGACGAGGAGGAGGCCGCCGTCTTGACCTCCGACGAGGAGGCCGCCGGACCTCCGACAAGGAGAAGGCCGCCTTGACCTCCGATGAGGAGGCCGCCGCCTTGACCTCTGATGAGGAGGCCGCCGCCTTGACCTCCGATGAGGAGGCCGCCGCCTTGACCTCCGACGAGGAGGAGGCCGCCGCCTTGATCTCCGACGAGGAGGAGGCCGCCGCCGATGAGGAGGCCGCCGCCTTGACCTCCGATGAAGGAGGCCGCCGCCTTGACCTCCGATGAGGAGGCCGCCGCCTTGACCTCCGACGAGGAGGCGCCGCCTTGACCTCCGACGAGGAGGCCGGCTGCCTTGACCTCCGACGAGGAGGAGCCGCCTTGACCTCCGACGAGGAGGAAGGCCGCCGTTGACCTCCGACGAGGAGGAGGCCGCCGCCTTGACCTCCGAGAGGAGGAGGCCGCCGCCGCCTTGACCTCCGATGAGGAGGCCGCCGCCTTGACCTCCGACGCCGCCTTGACCTCCGACGAGGAGGCCGCCGCCTTGACCTCGCCGCCTTGACCTCCGACGAGGACGCGACGAGGAGCCGCCTTGACCTCCCGCCTTGACCTCCGACGAGGAGGAGCCGCCGCCATGACCTCCGACGAGGAGGAGGCCGCCTTGACCTCCGACGAGGAGGGCCGCCGCCTTGACTCCGACGAGAGGCCGCCGCCATGCGACGAGGAGGCCGCCGCCTTGACCTCCGACGAGGAGGAGCCTTGACCTCCGACGAGGAGGCCGCCGCCGCCTTGACCTCCGAGGAGGAGGCCGCCGCCTTGACCTCCTTGACCTCCGAGGAGGAGGCCGCCGCCTTGACCTCCGAGGAGGACCTCCGAAGAGGAGGAGGCCGCCGCCTTGACCTCCGACGAGGAGGCCGCCGCCTTGACCTCCGACGAGGAGGCCGCCGCCGCCTTGACCTCCGCGACGAGGAGGCCGCCGAAATTACCTCCGGCGAGGACGCCGCCGCCGCCATGACGTCCGACGAGGAGGAGGCCGCCGCCGCCATGACCTGGAACTCCTTGTCTTGCTCGTCCAGACAACTTGTCCGGGACTAGCAGGACAAGTGGGCCGCGTTCGGAACCTGCAAGACCCTTTCTGCCCAGAATGCAACCGGCTCGAATGTAAGCATTCACATTTTTATCATACCGGTATCTTAATTAAACACTGCATAGGTTTTATAACTCCTTTGATGCATATTTAACTTAACTGCAACTGACAAACACAAATATATCCTTTGATAACACCAATAAAGGGCCATCAATATCTTGTGGTTACCTGCAACTGTCAATGTTTACATACAAAAGCTATTGCGACGTCATCTCGTCCTGCTCGCCCAGGTTCGCAGGAGGGCGAGTTGGACGAGCTAGACTACTTGTCCGGGACGAGAAGTGGAGGTTCCGAACGGTCAAAACATCTCGTTCAACTGGTCTGGACGAGGAGGACGAACAGTTCCGAACGCAGCATTATTGTAAGCTGAACGTTACCAATATCAGAAAGGTAAGATTAAGCATTGTGGACAAAGGATAATGAAATGCATATAATGAGACTGAGGTGTTTATAAGTAAAATGTTAATCTTGTACAACGCCTGGATGCACTTAAAGAACTTTAAATCACGGCTGAAAAAAGTGGATGAGGATTCCTGCTTGGCTTTCTGCAAGGCGTTGTTCCACTTCTGCTGCAGAAATCTCCGTCATAAAACGACACCATTCTTCATTCCACCATACTTCAACTATAGAATTACCCTCCGCCTCCACCAAACAATATAGATTTTAGAAAATTTAAAACATGAACATATTCGAAGTATAGGGTGCTATATACAAGTTACAAAATCTATCGCCTTATTTTTCATGACTGTACTTTTAAATCTGTTATTTTGGCTAGATTGCCTTAGCGAGGCCCTTCGTAAAGTGAAGTATCATCAAAGTGTTTCAATCGAATACATAAACAAACGAATATCTTTGAGTACAATGTACTAATTCAATATAGTAGCAAGCTTACCATATTCCCTGAAATGCAAGGCCTGAAGCCATTGCTCGTTTTATCACATAAATACGAGTGAGAGTAACTCTTTTCATAGGAAAAGAAATACATACTCTCACTTATAAATGAAGGTTCCAGGATGTAACTGTGTTTACATAGTGTTACATGTGCTCCCCTTTGTACAGTGTTATACTGCATGCATCTGGGTGTTCCCATGCACTGCGATGTTGGGTGGGGGCGTGAGGTGCAAATGGGATGTGGTAGATAATAGACTGAAGTGAATTGCTGGTTGCCTTGGTGTCATGTGATGTGTTGCCACTTCGACTTATGCTTTGTTTGGCTACTCCTTCTGTGAGAGTAATAGATATGCACATACACTACTTTTTTTGAAATTCAGAAGCCTAGACGATAATATACGTTTCAAATATTTTATTTTTGCATTTCCATAAAGCATTTGCATTATCATAATCATATACACACCCTCTACATATATCTCTAAGTCGCTGAAATATATCATACCTGAATAAAGCCTATAAAAAACAATATGGAGAAAAAAATACCTGGAGGATAGCACTGTGCAAAGTGGCCAAAGTGAATTGAGGATATATGGAGCATACGTGCGCACACACACAAATATAGAATGAAAATCATTTCGAAAAGTGCAGAAAAAATGAATAAAAATTGATATCTTCATAGTGTAAGGGATATATACGACCGGCTTTGACTATTTTCTTCTGATGAAGATAAAGCTGAAGCCGGTCAGTTACACATCTTGTGTATGTACTGTGAAGATATTCATTCTAATTCCTACCTATTTCTAGATAAACAGAGATAGATTTAGAGATATATGTATATATATGGGTGTATATATATATATATATATATATATATATATATATATATATATATATATATATATATATATATATATATATATATATATATATATATAAAACACATATAATAAAATAGTATTATAAATAAACGCATAGAGATCATACATATATATATATATATATATATATATATATATATATATATATATATATATATATATATATATATATATATATATATATTCTATATTGTATACATTTTACACAGTGTGTACCCAGCAGGGTTGTTTTATTGTTGAAAGTATGTGTAAAAATGGTTGCAACACTGAACAACTATAATCCAAAGCACTGAAAATTCTGAGTGGGGGCCTTGACCTCTTTCCAGAGGTAAATTAAGGTTGAGTAAGCACTACTTTACCAAAATGAATGGGCTTGAACTTTTTAATGCCCTGACGATCTTCAAGGTAGCAAATTCAAAGAGAACGTTGTTTTATGCTCCACTGTGTATGCCTTTGCCGATGGACAGAAGGAGTGTAGCAGCATGGTAGGCAAGCGTGGATTTCAATACTTTTTTTTTTTTTGATACCAGCAGTATGCATCAAATAGTGGGGCACATATATTATAGACAAGTATATTATATTATGCATTACATTATTATTATTATATATTATATTACATATTGCATGTTATAGGCATTTCTCTCGCTTCAACGACGGCACAGACAGCCTCTAGGGAACACCACACCAGCCTGGGGTCCAGACGCCGTCCCAGTTGGAGGGGTCGCCCGCCGGGTCGTTCGCTGGCTCGTCTCGGGGGACCACGTTGGGAATCTCTTCCAGCAGCATCAGTTCCAGGGCCGTTGCCAATTCAGGCTCGAATTCGAGCAAGTTCACTGCTTCATTAGGGTCATCTAAATCAGGGAAAAAATATTGAGGATGCAACAGCATAAAATATTTTTACAGATATATGAATGCCTCTGTCAACACCCACACATCTACGCCTCTTTATCCACACACGGAGAGAGAGAGAGAGAGATACAGTTATCCTCACCTTCAAGGTTGAACAGCCAGGGTCCGATTTCGTTTTCTTGCACCAGATTCTCTTCGCCCATAACAAATTTGTGATTTCGTAATCTGGATACGAATAGTTTTTATACAATGTTTCCTGCTAATGATTATATCAAATTCTAATGGAATAGTTTCCTATAACATGACAGTATGAGGAGAAAATGAAATGTTACTTAGGAAATGAACCTCACCTGATAGCGCCAAGCGTAATTTCTTCCTGTTCAGCATCAAGATTGTAGATGAATGTGGTTCGGGGCGACTCAACAGAAGGATCCACAAGGGAGTCCCACTGGTTGAAGCCGTCGTTGTCAGGCAGGAAGGACTCCCCTGCGAGAGCCAGGAGGGTGTTGTACCAGTCGGTGATGTGCAGGAGGCCAGAGTGCACTCGTGGAGTCTCTTGCAGGAGGGGACTGTGGACGAATCCTGCGGCGCGAGTACCACCTTCCCACATCGAACCCTTGTTGCCTCGCAGAGGCCGGTTGCTCTCTATGGGGAACGGCTATGCTTAATATCTCTATATAACATTGAATATATACTCTAAATACGATAACACAGCCGGTTAAAAAATATATAGTAATAAGATTAAAATAATATAATATTGCAATAAAATCATTTACTTGCAAGGTGCAGATAAAAGCCTTAAATCAAAGGCTGGTAAGCTTTCATCAGAATTGACTAAGAGAGTTCAGACTATACAGAGTATCATTTAAGGAGGTATTGCCTCTGCTGTACATATTTTGCGCACACACACACACACACACACACACACACACAACACACACACATATATATATATATATATATATATATATATTATCTATATCTATCTATCTATCTATGTATATATATATATGTATACTTCAACCTTATATATGCAAAATTTTCGCGTACCCCCATCCATGCCGACGCCGCCGTTATCCGACGAGAAGACGATGACCGTGTTGTCGTAGCGCCCCGTGTCCTTGAGAGCCGCACACCCGCCCACCGCCTCGTCCAGCGCCGTCACCATCCCCAGCAGCAGTCGCCGGTCTTCGTCGAGGTCCTCCGGGTAGTGCGCCAGGTACTCGTCGGGAACCTTGGATTATCAGAACGGAATATTGCCAAGGACAC